TTAGCCCCCATAGTTAACCTGTTATAAGCTTTTAAAGGTAACCAATAGTGGTTGCGTTTCTTTTGCTCACCACTGTACTAATTTAAAATTTTCTTGTAAATTTTGAGACACAGTTACAAAGTTATTATTCGCATCACATCAATAATAGATAGAAATATTTCCTACTTTTTTTGAAATATAATAAAGTAATTCAATAGGTAAATCACAGGAAATTTGAACTTTAACAAAAATCTCTTGCACTAAACTATTATCATTTAGAAAATTAAAAATCTACAGGAATGTGTAAGTTTGTAATGCAGATTTTAAATTTTGTTTTTCTTATTCTGTTAATTTTGATTCACTATAAAGGCATTATGTTTTTCCATATAAATTGCATTTTATATAACCCTGATTTTGACAGAAATGAGGATAATACTAGGGTTCAGCTTAGCTTTAGAATTTAAATTAATTAAAAAAGGACAAAATTTTTCTGTTATAGGTTTGCTATATAAATTTGTAAATGTTTTATAATGATCAGGATTATCTATTTAAAAAGTAATATTTTAATAATATTTTAATAATATTTTATCATTGAATATAAAATATCACAAAAAATACCTTGTGATAATATTAGATCAGGCAAAAAATATAAATTTTGAAAGACATCAATTGGCATTCTAATGGGATAACAAATCTTACAGAAAGGTTAATTACATTTTTTAATCTAAAAATCTGAAAATATAAATATTTAAAGTAAAACATTTTGTATAAGGTAATTTATTACCTGAAATAAATATGCTTTCTCTTGACAATAAGTTTTAATAAATTTTACTAGAGGCTTATATTTTTGTAATTACTATTGAGTAGTTTTATCTTTAGCTAATATGGAATCCATTTGCAATATATTCTTAGTTTATGTAATAAATAAAAAGTTATTAAAATAAAATATAAAATAACAACCTGATTTTAATTTATAAAAAAAAAAATATTACCTTAAACATCTCATCAATTTTCAAATTAGATGTAGGATTTCTGTTTCAAATGCTTTATTTTTTTAACCCAAATGTTTTGTACATTCATGAAGTAATTCTTAAACTGTTATAATATATTTTTCTAATTCTACTTTTAAGTATGAATTATTTTTTGCTTTTTCTCATATATCTTTTAATATTTTTAGAGTTTCAAATTTATCTTTATACTCTTCAGGCATTTTTTCTCTCTTTATAGTAACATCTTAAAGCCCATAATTTATTATACTCATAATTCTTTTCACGAAATTATACTAACTGTGATGTAAAGCTATTTTAAGTACAATTAGCATATCAAAATTACTTGCTAAAATAAATATATTAGTGCTACTTAAACTGATCTAAAGGTATATCTGTAATTAGAACCTCTATTAATATAAAGTGATAATATTGAAGGTAAGGGTTAGTTATGATATTGATAATTTATGAGATTAAAAAATTCAGTTGAATGCTTTAATATGCTACTTGGTTAAAATACAGTATCTTTAAAGCTGACATATACTTTTCTATCATAAAATGATTTAAATATATTATATAATATATTAATAAATAAAGTAACAAATAGCGTTAATGATAACTTTGTGAAATTATGATCTGTAGTTGTGATTTCACTTTCAGCTGATGTTAAAGTCTTTTTATTGCGAACTCCTGTAGATACTGGTACACTTACACTAATAAGCACTTTATGTTTATTATTTGCGTAATTTTAATATTTAATATTAAATTCATGTTTATATTTAAATAAAGTGCGATAATAATGTTTATCTTTACTGGATTTTTGTAATAATTGTGATTGCATCTTGTATTTTACATTAAAATGCTCAGTACCGTATACTCTCAAAAATAAGCATTCCTCAAAAATAAGCACTCCCATATTTATATATCTTTTGAAATTAAGCACCCCTGAACATTATATTAAATTTTATTAAATTCATATAAAAGATTATTATATTTACAAATAAAAGGGAAAAATAAGCTATATTACCTACTCGACATTGCTAATATTTTCTTTATCAGAATTAATATCACTAATACTTAAATCATCTAATGAATCAGATATATGACAAGTTTTAAAAGAATTTATAATTATTTTATCAGAAACTTGCTCCTATAATCATTTTATCCATCTGCATATATCACCAAGCTTAGCACGTCAAAGATTACCTTTAGCAGTATGACCGGCACTACTATTGGCCATTCACAAATGCCATTCTTTTCTAAGATTGTCTTTAAAAGGTTTATTAATAGTTACGTCAAGAAGTTGACATATATTGGTTAAGCCACCTGGAATGACCGCTAAATCATAACCATTTTCTTTAAACTTGCCCTTAACTGAATCTTTTAAATGACCTTTAAAAGAATCATATACATTAACATTGGTGTTTCAGATCTATTATTATTCTCATTACCAAGATAATTAATATATTGTAGCATTAATTTGGAATCCATTCAGCCATTATCTTAGAACCAAACAAATATACCAGAAGGAATACATTCTCTTTTTGGTAATCTTTTTCCTTTGAATATGCAAATCAGAGGGTATTTTGTACCATCTATTATATGAAAAAGTCATTTTATTTTAAATAAATTTTTTAAATTAAAAAATTTTTTTTTAGATTTACAAACTCCTTACTTGCAGTACATGTCAAAACAATAGTAAAACAGATTTTCTCATTACCTGTCATATGAATATGAATTGTTTTCTCACCTTTTTGACTAATGCTAAAGTTTTCAGCCATATCAAATCAGACCAGAGTCTCATCCATATTAAAAATATTATGTAGTTCAAAGGATTTTTTAAGTCTAAGATGGATAATAAATTGACAAAACTTTTCTAAAATTTCTTTAGTTTGTGCAGGGAGTTTTTGTGAAACTTTTGTAAGTTTCCGCTATGCCAATTTATATCTTTTCATAAATGAAGACATCCAAGCATCAGATGTTTTAAAAGTTTCAGCTGCCATTACTGTTGCTGGTGTTAATGTTATGGATATTGCTGTTACTGGTGTTGCTGAGATTATATTATATATTTCTAAAAATTCTAATATTTTAACTTTTGCAATTATATAAGTTACTGCTAAATCTTGTTTTCTCTGTTCCATAATCCAATTATACAGTCTTTTTTCAGACTCAGAATAAAAAGGTTTTCAGCCTGAACTAATTCTTTTACTATTTTGGTCTACTTCATCCCATTTTGAACTGGCTTTTATCCATTTTCCAACCATACTAGCATCAAGTTCAAAATGACTTGCTGCTTTATTTCTTCCTACTTGTTTTGCATAAGTAACAATCTCTTTTTTTTGTTTAATAGAATATGAACTACATTTACGTTTGACCGTTACCATTTATAAAAAAAGTCACAGAGTTATGTGCATTATACTCAAATGCGCAGTACACGCAGTTCATTATTAAGGATCATCATTCAGTCTCACAAGATTATTATACAATTTAAAAAAATTTTAAAAATCTCTCGAAAATAAGCACTCTTATAATAAAAAAGGGATGCTTATTTTCAAGAGTATACAGTATATTGCATAACCTTGATAATATATACATTAGATTCACTCTTTTAATAAAATAAAAATATTACTTGGTAGAGGAGATCCTTGATATATTGCATTTAAGCAAGTAATGATTCTATCTCATAATTCTCGAATAGATATAACATATAAAATATATAGAGTAGCACCTATCTGATATTCATTAATAATAGTATTATTGTGTTAAAATATAAATAAAAAAATAATGAATTTTATTATTAGAAATATTAGAAAATATAAATTGGATATTATTTAATAATCTCATTAAAATATCTGTTAAGTTCATCCCAAAATATGTCAAATTTTGATCCTTGAAATCTATTACTAGTTCTTAAATCAATTATTATAGAAGGATCTTTTAATAATATTATAAGACGTAATCTTTCTTCTATTTCTTTGCTTATTTTATCATTTGCCAATGAAGTATCACTAGATAGATTATAATATAACATTCTAAGTACTGGTTTTGAAAGATTGTGAATTAAAGAATACTAAAAAAAAGATTTGTTGAATTTTTAATTAACAAAAAATTTTTATTGTAAATTAAATATATTAATCATATCTTTTGAAATACATTTTTTTCATTTGTCTTGTACAATATACTGGTATTATATTATTGATGCAAATGATCATTTATATTTTAAAAGTTTTATAATCTTCATTAATTTCATCAGTATCAGATTCTCTTCATATAAAATTTAGTATTCCAAGATAATTATCATAAGGATATTGTCACCATGGAATTCTTCAACTCGAGGTGGTCACGTTATCAAGTCTCTACTCAAAATTTCTTAACTACGGCTTTACTGCGATCAAGACGTTAGGATCCGCCTAACTCTTAATTTTACCAAATCTATGCGTTGAACTTTAACAAATCTATCAAGTATGAAGACTTGAAAGACGAGATTACGAATAATTTTAATTAAAGAATTCCAAATGACGAACTCAATTACAAATAATGTGTAGGGATCAC